TAGCGTGGCTCACACAATGCTACTCAGGGAAAAGCCCGTGCAAGGCTACACCACAAGTGCACTCATCCCATGGTCACTGGAAGTCTTTTTTAATGTTTTTTTATGTGGACTTTAAGCAGTAGGTCAAAAATGCAAAACCACCCTGATGGAATTGACATCCCAAGCTTTCTGAGAAAGTCAGGACCAAAAAGTACTTGCATCCTCCCAAATCTCTGATACAATTGTAAACACCCCAGAGGCACCAAGACAGGCAAAGAAGAGCTCTCTAATTCTACCAGTTTTATTTTTATATTTAAAACAAATACTTGTTCCCCCATCTCTGGGCACAGATTCAGAAGAATGAGTTCCCGATAGGTGTTGGTGGCTTCGAGGGGCAGTTCAGGATTTATTGACATCAAGGAAAGTGAGTACAAGCAGAAGACACTCCCATTAACCACCTTTATGTGCTCTCTGCAGCTTTGCAGGTGACAGGGACATCAATATCCTGTTAACACTGCACAGCAGTTAGCTGCATTGTTAAGAGGTTCAGGGGGAAAGTACAGGCTGGCTCCCAGAACAACCAAGAAGTCAGTCTGAGGCCTGCAGGGAGCAAAACCCTTGCAACCCAGTAGCTAAATGTAAAACTAATCTACATTTGGGCCAGGGGATTCTATAAAACAAAGATTAATGATATAAGGATATAAGGACATCAATTTTTTAAATTTATTTGACAGGTAGAGTTATAGACAGTGAGAGAGACAGAGAGAAAGGTCTTCCTTCTGTTGGTTCACATCCCAAATGGCCGCCACAGCTGGCGCTGTGCCGATCCAAAGCCAGGAGCCAGGTGCTTCTTCCTGGTCTCCCACGTGGGTGCAGGAGCCCAAGCACTTGGGCCATCCTCCACTGCCCTCCCGGGCCACAGCAGAGGGCTGGACTGGAAGAGGAGCAACTGGCCATCATCCACTGCTTCTCTAGGCCATTAGCAGGGAGCTGGATTGGAATGGGGCACAAACTGGCACCCATATGGGATGCCAGTGTCACAGGAGGGGTTTTTTTTCTAGCCCCAAGGATACTATTTTTAAAGACCACATTACCATCAAGTGACTTAAAGGATCATGGGTAAAATCGCCAAAGCCTCTACAAATGTTTTACCAAATAAAGTCTTCCAGTGAAAAATGGCTACGAACTTAATCCTGTAGCCTGGGTGAGGGACTTGGGAATGGGGCAGAGGAAGAGTACCCAGTAGTGACAAGAACAGAAGTCCTTTGAAGTTCCGTGTGTTACCTTTAGTTTCCTGGTGGATTTGGCATTCTATCCCATAATGCACCCTCCTTTGTTTTAACATGAGCACAAAGTGCTATTACTCGGTCGTCTTGTTGGGAGCGGATGCTGCAGGAAGAAACATCCATTCTTGTGCCTTCACTGCTCGAGCGGTTTGAGAAGCCTGGGGCTGACGGGAAGGCGCACCTTAGCCATCACCATACATTTCTTTCTCATGGTTCTCTTTAAATAAGACATTCCACACTCCCATTTCATGGCCAAAACCCCATACACGCTTCTTCAAATCCAGTACCACTGTCAGCAGACCTACACAAGCAGTTAGGTTAATAGTGGTAACTCAAACATACAAAATAAAGTAGTCACAATTTTTTTTTGCTACATGCAGTATTTTTACACAAATAAAAAAAGCTGACATATTTCAAAAATCAAGCCTGCATTTTTCTGTTGAATTTTACAGTTCAGATCAATTTGTTGTGTCATCCACATCACCAAATACAGGGAGCACATGCATTCCTAGAAATATTCAAAATGAGAAGCTGGCCAAATGAAGAACTGTAGTGCTTGAATCTTCTCTTAGTTTTTTTAATTGAAATTAAAAATTGAAGAGAAATTCCCAAGGAAAAAATAATATAATAGACCTTGAAGCTCTTCCCATCCCCAGTCAACAAGCCCTTATTTATTTACTTGAAAGTCAGAGTTACACAGAGAGAAGGAGAAGCAGAGATAGAGAGAGGGAGAAAGAGAGGGGAGAGAGAGAGAGAGAGAGTCTTCTACCCGCTGGTTCACTCCCCAAATGGCCACAAGAGCTGGAGCAGTGCCAATCCGAAGCCAAGAGCCAGGTCATTCTTCTGTGTCTCCCAGGCAGGCACAGGAGCCCAAGGACTTGGGCCTTCTTCCACTGCTTTCCCAAGTCATAGCAGAAAGCAGAATCAGAAGTGGAGCAGCCAGGACTCGAACTGGCACCCACATGGGACGCTGGCACTGCAGGTGGCAGCTTTACCCACTATGCCACAGCACCGGCCCCTGTCATCATTATTAACTGGTCTCTCAACTGGAATGACGGATCCATGAGCACCAGTGCTCACTCTGCCTGTCCTGTTCTTTGGAATGACTCAGGGGTGTAAAACTTGAATGGTTCCCATCATCCTTTGCCTAAAGGCCAGGAGACCATCGATATGATTGCCGTGGGATAGCTCCACAGAACACGAAGAAGGCTGAACTCCTGACTCCTTTCTCTATGACGCAGGAAACACACCGGCAAGAGAAACTGCTTTGGCCTGGTGATCTTCCTCTGAATTAGGCTTTGAGAGCCTGTAAACTCTTGCCAAGGCAGGCAGTAACCATTTACACACCTGTGCAAGAGGCGCCTTCTCTGATGTGCTGCCAAAGGGGAAATTTCGTGAGAAACACGCCAGCAATACCTCAAAACATTCATGGACAATAGAATTAGAAGAGGAGTTATTTTCATGCCAAACTTTTGAAGCCTGTATAGTTCTTCCGTAGTACACATTTTTCATGAACTGTTTGAAGACCTCCATACGTGATAGATGAATTTCTGTAGCAGGCTAATGTCGGTTGATTCGTGTTCCTATTCCCATTCAGACCATGTACAACATTCATTTCTGAAACAGATGATTCTATTAACTTCTCCTCCTCAGTCTCTAACATGGGAGTGATAGAGCTTCTGACCTCACCTGTTTCCTGGGAAGAATATGAGAAATGACATTGGCTGAAAAACTCCTTGGCATAAGGCAAGAAGACACTAAATTTTAGCTCTTATTGTTGTTTCTGAAACCACTAGGGAGGTTATCAAATTGAGGTAAAGCTTGGTTGAAGATAATTAACTTTGGAGTTCAACAATGGCAACCATTCTGATCACTTATCAAACTGCAAGTATTACGATAGGGACATTTAAATGCACGTTATCTCTAATCCTTACAACAATAACCAGAGGTATTAAGATTGCAGTTTTGGAGCAGATGCTACACAGCAATTAAATCACTGCTTGGGATGCCTGCATTTCATAGTGGAGTATCTGGTTCGAGTCCTGGCTCCTCCACTTGCAATCCAGTTTCCTGCAGAGATGCAACCTGGGAGACAGCAGGTGATGGCTGAAGCACACGGGGCCCTGCCACCCACTTAGGAGACCCAGACTGAGTTCCTAGCTCCTGGCTTCCACCTGGCCCGGCCTCAGCCATTGTGGGCGTTTGGAGAGTGAACCAGAAGATGCAAAATCTCTCTGCCTCAGTCTCTCTGTCTTTCTCTCTGCCTTTCAAATAAAATGAAAACAAAATTATTTAACTAAAAAACCTCAATGTTTGAAAATAAGGACTCTAATACCCAAGCACACTAAATAATTTGTCCAAGGTCATAGGCCCACTTTAAAATTAATTTTTAAATACTCAGTGATTTCTCAGATAGGTAAAGGTTTAGCTTTTATGTCATTACATTTAGTTCTTTGTTTGATCACACATGGGCATCTGTGAATTCACACACTCCCAAAGCAGTCCAGCATAAAATTACATGGCCAAACATGTGAACACAGAGTTCAGGGTTTACCAGATATGTGACCTCTCTGCATATCACAGTCCTTAATTATAAAAGTCACTGGATAACTAAACCCCAAGTCTTTCTATTTCTATCGAAAGAATTCGATTGCATCAAGATACTGAAGCAACTTAAGCCCTTTCAGTGCAATTGTGTCTGAGCATTGCTTTGCCTTACCTTTGACTCAGCTTAATACAAATAATGGAGAAACGTTCAAAATGGGCTTGCTTCATTAAAAATGTCAGTGGGCATTTAGCCTAGCAGTTGAGGGGCAAGTTAAAGCACACGCATCCCACATCTGAATATCTGAGTTCAATAGCCAGCTCCAGCTCCAGGCTCCAGGTTCCTGCTGATGCAGAGCCTCTGAGGCTCTAGTAATTGAGTTCCTACCATCACATGGGAGACCCGGGCTGAGTCCCTGGCTTCAGACTTCAGCCAGCCCAGCCTAGACCATTGTGGATATGTTGGCGTGTGAACCACCTAAGTGGAAGCTTGCTCTCTCTCACCTGCTCTAACTCTGCCTTTCAAATAAATAAATAAATAAATCTTTTTAAAATAAAAAATCTGACCTAAGTATAGACCATGTATACAATGGCAATATGATCTCTTCATGAGTAAAGGCTTACAAATAGAAGGATCTGGGACATTTCTAAAATCATAACCACCCATGCGAGCGACCTCAGGGATGTCCACAGTCACGTAGCTCAGACTATCAGAGACATCCAAAGGAAGGGATCTGTCATTAGTTATCTGGGTAACTGTTGCTAAGACTCAGCTTAGGAGTGGCCTATGTTGCCCCTCCCCCACCCTAGCTCTCCCCTGGCAGCAACCAAGGGAACTGGGCCAGGCTCCAGGGAAGGGCACAACCCCATGTCTGTTTCCCATCACCTTTTCAAGTACTCACCCTCTCCTCCCTGCTCTCCTCCTGTTCTTTCTACTCACCACGCATCTCCAAACCCCTTGGTTTCTCCTTGGTTTGAGACACATTTTTGATTCTGTTCAGACAATTACTTTCCTCTCCCAGCTGATGCACAGGTGAAGAGCACAACCTGCCACAGAAAAAAAAAATCAAAAACTGAAGCCTTGGGCGTTTGGGGAGATGGGGCTGAAGAACAAGACAGCGACATCAAGAGCCCTGAGGTTTGCAGAAGTTTTCCGCAGAATCCACGAGAACACCACACCGTAGGCAAAGCCTGAGCTTTGAGACCAGGCAAACGGTTTTAGTGCCGGCTGTGACTCTCACTAGCCCTGTACTCTTGTTGAGACTCCTTTTCCCTTTACTGTTAGAATGAGAAACTCAAGGAAATGATTCACATAAATGACTTAGCACAACGCTGGTACAGTAAGTGAATGCTATCTATTATTCATACTATTATTATTCTTCCATTTCTTGAACTTCGGTTTGCTTGGACCAGTAGGATTCAAGATACATTTTTAACTATTTCTTTTTTCTGTAACAGCATGTGAAGTAAGAAAATCTTCTGAAGTTGGTTTTATTATTCGCTACTGTGGGCTAGCCTAGAACCTAAACATTGAGGAGGAGCAGTTAAATATGCCCCAGATTCCAAATTCAGCTTGACAGAGAGAAGGCTTTAGAGACAGCCCTTGGTGGAAATAGACTCACTAATTCATTTTAACTCTCCTGTGTGTTCCTGTCCAGACCGTTTTTCTAGGTTTTGAGACAGATTTGGAAGAAGATGCAGAGCTTCTGGGATCAGAAAGTTCTGGAGCTAACCAAGGGAGGTTTCCAGAAGACAGGTGCATCTTGGCATTTATCTTGGGCAAAGTGAAGAACGGGGTAGCAACAGTTAGTGGATTTGTGTTGGAATAATTCACAGGTCTCTTCAGTATAGACATTTAGGTTTGTAGAAGTACCTAAGACCCTCAGCAAGTCTCTTAAGGGTGCAAGAGCAGCATCCCGAAGGGTCTCAAATAGCATAACCCAATGTGTCTCAGCTTTCAAAGCACGAGCATTGAAATTAAGACCTTTCCCTCTTTCCGTACTCTACCCTCATCATTCTTCTCTTTCTCCTTCTCTCTTTCCTGTAGCCCCAGGATCTACTATGCTCTAGTGAGTCACTGAATAAAGAAAGCGAAATCAGGAACTTTAGTCTTAAGGGAAGAAACGATGAACTTTCTAATGTAAATTGTCTGGTGAGAGACTGAAGAGCTTCTAGAACAAATGAAGACTATCCTTATTTCTACTTGTAAAAACAAATTCTCTCTTTTCATAGTAGAAATGTCCTTGGATAAAACCATGAAAGAGACTTGATTGGGATGTTTATTATTCTGCCTTCTTCTCACTTAGTTGTTAAATGTGAACTAAGATTCCTCAAATAGCCTTCAGTAAAGCCTATGTTAGTAGATTATGATATGGATTGTTGACGAGATATGTTAGTCTGGAATGGTGTGTTGCAAACTCTTTAGGACCCAGTGAGTCTATGGACAAAGTATGGACAAAATTTGGACAGCTTCTGTCCAGGTAAATGTGACTAAACTAAATGGAACCTTTGTAGAACCAAGGAAATAAGAAAATACTTGCATGTGGGAACTCATTGGCTCACATGCCTGAAATCTGAGTCAGACTTCCCTTGATGCTAGCGTTATGGAAGAAGAATTTCCTCCCCCCTATCCATCCCAGGGCCAGATTTATTATTTATTACTACTTCTTTCCATTTTTAGCTTCCTTTGTCATGCGAAGGTAGTCATAAGGGAATTCCATATTTTGCTATTTTGAGTAGATTTCAAAGTCAAAAAAATGATGGCAGTTTGGCCTTTAATATAATGGTCCTTTCTAGAATTACATAAACTCAATACTAACTTCTACTTCCTGAAATTGCTCTTTCTCCCTGTTCACTGTTCACTCATTGGACAAACATTGATTCGCAGGAATCACAGAGTGAACAAGACCAAAACAGTCCTTGTTTCATTGTAAGTTACAGGGTTGGTCCTAGATTCAGATTCTATGCGACATCCTTTAGCCTTGCCTTTCTAGAAGAGGGTACATTCTCAAATGGATTTGTTTGCACAGTTGCAGTACCTTTGCCAGCAACTCCTGGAACAAACTTCTTGCTTGAATTAACATCCAGGTAGACACTGGAACCATTCATTCCCCCATAACTCCAATACGGGACCTGGAACTGAGCTCTCTTGATCCCAGTTGGTCTGACAGGTCATGGGCCAGCTCCTAACCCATGATCCAGAGCCATAAGACATGTGGTGTGTTTAAACCAACCAGAGCTCCTTCTTACAACCGGTCAGAGGCTGTTGCATAGAACGGATGCTATAAGGAATGAGATACGTCTACTCAAATCCCTGTCCTTGCAGAGTCGGTAGTCTCTGAAGAGCTGGCAGGATAATGGGACGTCGCATACACATGAATCATTTTTGAGAGATGAGGTTAACAAGTGTGTAGCCCTGGGAATCTTCCCATAGCAACAGGATGCAGGCTGAACATTCTGTTAGAAACCACCACTGAGCAGCCACCATATGCTCCAAACCGCCGGCCTCTGGCAATGATTTAGAGGTGAAACCTTTTGTGTCCAATTAGCTTCCACTTTGATTCATGCCATGCCTGAGAATTCATCTGGATTTATAAAGTTCAGGATTTTCGATAAATTTGACAAGAGCTGCTGAAAGTTAAAATGTTTGCAAGGATGTTCATTTCTTGATTAATCACAATATAATTTTCCCCACGTAGAGCTGGCTAGAAAAAAACTGAAAATCGGAGACTCAGTCCAAGCCTCATTTTAGCAGAAATATTCCCTCTTCACCTTGCTTTCTACTTTGAGTGTGCAGGGTTTGGTTCTAGCTTCACATGTAATACCTCATCATCCATCTAATGGTCTGAGTTAGTGCTCTCAACCTAGGCTGTGCAATGGAACCACTCAGGTGGTGTTGGGAAACAGCAATGCCTGGGTCTCCACAGGTTCTGTTGTCATGGGACCAGGGTGCAGCGAAGGGTAAGAATCTGTGCTTAAGTAGAACCTTAGGAGAGATGATGTATCTCCTAGGAAATGCATCCAACTTGTGCACACAACACAACTCAGTTAAATTCTGCAGCCTGATCGGTTCGGAAACAATTAAGGTCACTTCAGGATCAAATTAAATTCAGAAATAAGAAGGAAAGTTCTCCACATCAACAGCCAGCTGCCTATCTGTGCATGCTTTTGCCCCCACCTCGTACACATCTCCCACGTCTCTGCTGCCACCACCTGGTCGAATTCACCTTTTCCCTGGGCTTCCAAGCTATAAAAACAGGAGCTTTCCAGACTGCTGCCTGTCCACTCACCAGCCTTCACCATGCTGCAACCATTCTGACCTTTCTTTTCCAACTCAGGACTTCTAGCCGTATTGCTCTCTCTGCCTAAATGTTCTAACACATGGCCTCTTCCCACTGCACACACCAACACTCTCTGCCTTCCTCACTCTACTCGTTGGTCTGGGCTTAGCTTACATGTCACTTTCTCAGAGTTTCTCCCTGACCCATAATCTAAATAGAGCCTCCTGTTTTATACTCTCTTGCATGCCTTTTTTTAAATTTTTATTTTATTTGAAAATGAGAGGTAGAGAGAGAGAAAGAATGAGAGGGAAAGAAGGAGATGGAAAAAAAACGAGAGATCTTTCATCCACTGGTTCATTCCCCAAACGCTCACAACAGCTGGAGTGGGCCAGGTAGAAGCCAGGAGCCCAGAACCCAACACTTGAACCTGCTATTTCCCAGCATGCACCTTAGCAGGAAGCTAGAACCAGAAACAGAGCTGAGACTAAAGCCCAGGCACTCTGACATGGGCTGCAGGCAAGCAGCATCTTAACTGCTGTACCAAACACACTAGAGAGGAGTTGTTGGTACAATATCTGGCTCCCCTTTCTAACTATCAGCTTCCTGAAGGCAAGAACAATTCTGTTTTGCTCATTCATGTATACCCTAGCACCCAGCTTACATCTGTCCCGTAGTCTGTGTTCAATACTAACTCGGTGTAAATGAAAGGAGTGTGTTCTGCTGGACCACTTACGTACACTGAGGAACACCATAGAAATAGCTCCCAAAGCATAGAGTCATCTACCTAGGATGAAGTTAGAACCCTGTTCTCTGCGTTATGTACATGTTCTCATCATAAATTCACAGTTTTTCCCACAGTCTCAATTCTAGGAGTATTTATGTTTTTCTTGAGTACCAGTTGGTGTTTTGCCACTGTATGCCATAAATCACTAGATGCTTGGTCCTGTGATTCTATAAATCATTAACCAAGTAGGCCTCCCTCTTTGTTCTGATTGATGAAAAAGCTCAGAGCCAAGTCCATGGCTCTAACCAACCCCAGTCACTGACCTGACCAGAAAAGACCCTTCATGAGTCAACACCACTCCAGCTCCACCTCACCAATGCAGGCCTCATTTTCCCTCTTAGTATATGAACAAACATATATATGAGCAAACATACAAACATACATATATGTGAGCCCTGACCAAGAAAATAGATAATGAATTCGTTCAGGAAAAGAGAAAAAACATCTCTGTGATGAGTTGTGCTTCAGGGGAGGGGATAAATAGCACCTCCTTCCCTGGCGTGCACAAGGAAACAAGAGTTAAACAGAAAAAGAGCAGAAAGGGCTAGGGCACAAGGACAACAGTGGCTTCCACTCATGGCAAAGACATCCAAATGCAAAGGCCTTCGGGAGTGGGAGTGCACAGAGTGTCTGCCTCTAAGATGCCGCAATCTCTCTGCATACAGATGCCAAAGATTAAAGGTTGAGCTATGTGAGCCCCTTTCACTGCCCCCACATTTACCTATCAGATAATTTCTTCTGCTCCCCCCAGGAACGAGCAGGCCAAAGAGGGTTAGCCCTACCTAAGTGATGCCCTTCACAAGGAAGCATTAAATCATGGCAAAGGATGTCCTCTCCCTCTAAATATCGCTGCCATCGTCACGTTTATTTGAGCTCCTAAGCAAGTATTTTATACCACCGTACTAGCTCCTTGTTACTGCTGAAACAAATTACCACAAACGTACAACCTTTCAGTTCTGGAAGCCGGAAGTGCAAAGATGTCTCCTGGCTAGGCCAAGATGCAGGGGCCAGCAGATCTGCGTTCCTGCAGGGTGGGAGAAGGCCCATGCCAGGCTTTGCCAGTTTCTGCTGCCCGTGTTCCCTCTGCATCACTCCCATCTCTGTTTCTATTCTGATCTCGTCTTCTCTGAGTCTCCCGCCTCCCTCATTCTCTTAGGGTGCCCTTGGGATTCCATTAAGCTCCCCAGGTAATCCAGGATCTTCTCCCAAACCCCAAATCCTTAACTCAGCTGCACCTGACGATTAAGCCCCTTTAGCCATATAAGGTAATATATAGACCACTTTCAGGAATTGGGAGGGGGTGCCTCTAGGGAACCCTTATCCTAGCTAATAATTAGGTAAATAATTCTCAAGTTATTAATTGGAAGTCTGTGGCTATGTCAAGGTATGAATTTGGGATTTGATTAAAATCATATCAAAGAACTCTTCACAGTACAGGAGTACCACCCAAACTAGGTCATGAACTCAAACAGCTGAGCCCAAGGTTGTGACATATGACATTTTTCACCCCGGGAAAAGAGCTGAGATATGGTTCCAAAAGCTGATTGACACCCTCAGGGAAACCTCACTGCCTCCTGTCAACAGCTATTTGGGAAGGGATTTGGGGAAAATTTTTCTGACTCTCCTACTAGCTCTCAAATTTTTTAATATACTAATTATTCTTCTGCTTTCCTTACTGGTTTCTTTAGGTTTGTAATTTTTTTTCTTTTGCTTTGATATTTTATCTATTTTTTAATTGACACAAAATTATTACATGTTTATGGGGTACAGAGTGTGATAATTCAGTACATGTATACAATGCATAATTATCAAATCAGGGTAACCAGAGGCTAGCACATTGGCAGAGCAGGTAGAGCCGCCACCTGCAGTTCTGGCGTCTCGTGTGGGCGCCGGTTTGAGTCCCGGTTGCTTCACTTCTGGTCCAGCTCTCCGAATGGGAGACCAAGAGGAAGCACCTCGCTCCCGGCTTCAGATTGGCGCAGTTCCAGCCATAGTGACCATTTGGGATTGAACCAACAGAAGGAAGACCTTTCTCTCTGTCTCTCTCTCTCTCACTGTCTATAACTCTACCTGTCAAAAAATGTTTTAAAAAGTGGTGTATTAAAGGTGGTGTATTAAAGTCTTAAAAAAAAAAAAGAAAACCAGAACCAATTGATCTTGAAGAGTAGAATAGTGATTACTGGAGGCTAGAAAGGGCCAGCAGGAATGTGTAGAGGGAGGTTGGCTAACAGGCACCAAAACACAGCAGGAGAGGAGGCACAGGTCTGGCGTTCCACAGCACAGACGCATAACTGCAGGTCACCATAACCCTCCCTTGCTTTTCTTATAAACTCTGAAAGGTCACGGTCTCTATCACTCTCAAGGTGAATGCCCTTCAGAGTCCAGGGTCCTGTACCACAAAAGGTCACTCAGTAGCTACATATTTGCTATTAAACGTAGCCCCAGGCTGTCATCGGCCAGCATGTTCCACCCATAGCCCCATCTGGCAAAGCACACTTCCCTGAGTACCTTGAATGCCGTAGTGCTTAGATAATACTGAAGTCATATTTTTTTAGTACTTTCTTTTCTTCCTTTAGGCCACATGTCCTTTTTGACTGTCTCTACTACCCTCCAGAATTTCCACTTTGAGATGGGGATCCACTTTCCGACGTGTAGGGTTATAACTCCTTCTGAGATCATAGGATTGAAAACCTTACAAAAAACACACCTTGCAAAGGGCTGGGAGACTTGGTCCTTTTAAGACACAGTCTAAAAAAATGAAACTTTTGCCATGCACGGAAGGGTCAAACCACCTGAGAGTTGTTTTTTTAAAGTCTGGATTTGTCTCAGGAGGCACCATCGGTGTTCATTTACCCTCAGTAGTTCTTTTTGTAGGTCTAGAATAAAATGAGCAGACGTGTTGTGCTGTTTTTCTCTCTGCTTGTTGGCAGGGAAGTCGGTTTGGAAGCCCAGTGGCTGCAGTGCCCGTGCTGAGTCCTCCAGTGCTGCCCCACATGGTGGTAGCTAGAATGATGGTGGAGCCAGTCCCTGGAAGAGGTTGGGGTTAAGGGCTTGGGCTGCTTCCTCCCAGCCCTGAAACTGAAAACTCCAATGGTTGCTTTACATCACCCCAGACCGGCTCAGAGCTACTTCGTCTGGAAAGAAGCCAAATACTCCATCACTGTCTACCTTGGAGCATGCCCAAGCCATGGGCTCAGTAGCCTTCCTTGTTTTCTAGAATTGATTGGTTTCGATTCAACAACTGTGTGTCCTGGCGTCCACACCAGAAAGTATCACCAGGACCTTCTGCTGTGACTTCCTGAGTGCTGGGAAAGCTGTAAGAGCCCACTCACTCCCTCTGGCCTCCCAGACGCTCCTGCTGCAGGCTTCGCAACCTGCTGTGGTCGCCTTTGAAATGCTTGCCCTCCTGGAGGCCGGGAAGGGGGAGGCGCTCACGTCAGCTCTCCATGCATCCAGCCAAGACCCATTGATTGAGTATGGTGGGCCTCCAGCTTGTCTTTGCCTGTAAGGAGCTCACAGTCCAGTTATCAACCCTCCGTAGTACTTCAGGGTGTGAGGAGGGAGGAAGGGACAGGAAAGCAGGGTACTAACAACCAAAGCCAAAGAGGGGAACATAGGGCAAGGGGAGCTCACACAGAGGAGATAAGTTCGTCCAACTTGGGCTGCTCTTAATGTGAGTACTGCAGTGGACAGATGGGTGGACAGCAAGTGTAGCTACTTCTGCAGGTCCAAAAGCACATTTTAAAGTTAGGTCATAGACCTTCATATAGGCACTCAGAAATCCCCATATTGGGTTTTTATGGTGGTCCAAGCCACAGAATATAATCTATTGAAGACCTGCCCACACCGCTTGCCTCTCTGTGTTCTAAGACCCCCAAATCTGGGTCCACTCATCCAGCTTCCAACAAGCCCATCATCATGCACATTGGGATCGTGGAAGAAAGTGGGCATTTATTTGCAGAGCACAGAGTAAGCAGTCAGGTTGCCATGGCTTAATTCCCAGGCTCCCCAAGGTGCTGGGGGTTCAGGGTTCTTACAGATTGTTCCGCCCATGCACAGGTCTCTGCTGGTCTGCAGGGCCCTTGGTCTTCCTTGGAGGACTCAGTGGTATCAGGTTCAAGTTCTTTAGGGAATTTTGATGGTGGCAAAGTGGGCCTCAGTCAGTCTCAGGGCTACATGCAGGTGGTATCAACTTTTTTCTTGGGACCTGGGGTTCCTGGAAAAAACCCTCAAGACAAGGCCCAAATCAAGGTGTTATCTATAGGGCAAAGAAATGGTCTCCTGAGTCTTGTGATCAGGACCCCTGGAGGATTCGCTGCTCTACTCCCTCAATTTGATGAGTTTAGAGTAAGAGGTTCAGTTGCAAGGAAGCATTCGGCTATGGAAAGCGGATGCAGACAGCAGGAGACCGGGACCCGATGGTATCCAGAGTCCGCATCAAAAACAGTGGTATAGGGGTTCAGGTTCACTTCTGTACTATTGCTCTCAGACTTTGAGGTCTGTGTCCCCGCCGTGATGACCCAAGGGAAGCAGACTAAATTTGCCAAGCCGAGCTTGCTTGTTTATCATTTCAACACTTTCGGCTCTTCCTGGCCACCATCCCTTTTGTGACTCAAATCCCCACTGCAGAAACCAACAGCCCAGTCTGGAGGCTTCTTCCACGGCACACGGTGTGGCTTTGCAGAACCTAGACTGGGCTCCCTCATTTCTGAAGACCAGGAAGGGGTCTGCCCAGCCCGTTTCTGTTCTGTGTGTCTGGTGTGGAGCATACTATGATAGGCATGTGTGCACCACCTGAGGGCCCAAAGAAACCACACTTGGCGTGGGTATTGTGGGGACACAGGGTAAGCCACCACCTGGGATGCTCACATCCCATATCAGAGTGCCTGGGATCAAGTCCCACCTCTGCTTCCGATCCGACACTTAGGGAGGCAGCAGGGAATAGCCCAAGTACTTGGATGCCCACGTGAGAGATTCAGATAGTCTTTGGATCCTGGCTTCGGCTTGGCCCAGCCCTGGCTGTTGTGGCCATTTGGAGAGTGAACAAGCAGATAAATCTCGTGCCAAAGGACAAAGAGGGGCAGGCACTTGGAGGATGCTCAGGACAAGGGGGGTGGCTGTAACCATTCTAATTAAAGTGCATCATTGGTTTCTGTTGATTTTAGTGGGGCCTGGGAATCTGCATTTCTAATAAGCTTTGAGGTGGTGCCCTTGCTGCTGGGGCAAGGCTTACGTCCCTTCCTTTAATGTTTTAAAGTTTATTTATTTTGTTTTATTTGAAAGGGAGAGAGAGAGAGAGTGAGAGGGCAAGTGAGAGAGAGAGAAAGGGCTGGTGAAAAACAGAGAGGCCGGCGCCGCTGTAGCTCACTAGGCTAATCCTCCGCCTGCGGCGCCGGCACACCGGGTTCTAGTCCTGGTCGGGTGCCAGATTCTGTCCCGGTTGCCCCTCTTCCAGGCCAGCTCTCTGCTGTGGCCCGGGAGTGCAGTGGAGGATGGCCCAGGTGCTTGGGCCCTGCACCCCATGGGAGACCAGGAGAAGCACCTGGCTCCTGGCTTCAGATGAGAGCGGTGCGCCAGCCATAGCTCGCTGGCCGCAGCGGTCATTGGGGGGTGAACCAACGGCAAAGGAAGACCTTTCTCTCTGTCTCTCTCTCTCACCGTCCACTCTGCCTGGAAAGAGAGAAAGAGAGAGAGAAAGAGAGAGAGAAAGAAAGAGAGAAAGAAAGAGAGAAAGTGGAGGTAATGCTCCCAAGCTGTGCAAAACACCAAGAAGATGGTCTTAAGAAGCAGTCCTGTGGTTTATGATTTGTAGCCCCCCACCCCAGCGTCTTTATCTTTGGAGAAAGATGAGAATGGTTTCTAAGTTCTTTTGCTGATTGTTGCTGTGTTTCCTTGACTGTGAAACTACCTTGTAGCTATACCACCTGGCTCTCTGACTTCGCCCTAGAAGTGCACAGGAGTTCTGTGAGGTTAACTGGCCAAAACCTTGCAGAACACCATCAGCGAAACCAAGAACAGCCAGATAGAGGCTCGGATTGTTCATCCTGCCACCCAGTCGCCCCGGGTGCTGAACACTGCACAGGCATCTTTCTGGCTTCGGGTAGCAATGCATGCTGCAGGTTCTGAGGGTAGAACGTGCCAGGTCACTCCTTGTTGGCTTTGAAGCTCTCCGTAGTAGGACTGGCTACTATGCACCTTATGTGGTAGAGGCTACCTTACACATACTGAGAAAAATTTTAATATCAAAATTACCAGGGAAAGCTGGCCTATTTAATGTAGAAAGAGCCCAAGATTTGTTTTATCTCCAATTGCCATATGTATAACCTCCTTGGATGATCATAAGTAACCACCAAATAATAAAATTTCTGAGTATATTAAGTAAAAACTAAGGTTTCTCTTCTTTTTACCTGAAAAGAACCCATTTTTGTTAACCTGAAAAAGAACTCCTGTTCTGATTGTGTATCTAAAATGAGGAAAAAATTTTAGGACTCTGAATTACAAAAAGAGAGATGAGTAAGTATAATCTCCAGACAGCAACCACACACAAAGGTAGGAAACAGAGAAGCATCACTTAATGTTCTGCAAATTATCTTGTAATACTTTGGAAAAGAAGTTATTACTGAGAGCAGAAGCCCACACTCTAAATATTCGCTTGGCTAGTTTATCTCACTATGCCTAGACTTTGTCAACAAAGGGCTATATTTAGAATCAATTTACTACTGCTGTCCTTACAGATCATATACTGCTTTTGGTTTACCACTAATATGCTCTGGCAGAGCCAGCAATCTCGAACACACAATAGTTTCTCGGTACCTTTGCTAAAGAAGTATAGCTAGAGCATTAGTGGTCCATCATAATTCTCTGAAAAAGATGGGTTTCTCTGCAATATACAGTTTATAAACCTCCACCGAGGCAGACCTATTCATCACACAGCCACTCGTAAAAATGCAAGCCTGGTCCTACAGCCTAAAATAAATCTGGATAAGCCCAAGACAACAGCGTCAGGGGTGGACCTGGAGGCACAGTGAATGCTGAGTCCCGGGAGGTAACGTAGATGACATCTAACCCATTCCATGCATAATGGCCACGAAGGCAGCACAAAAGCCACCACTGCTGAACACCAGATGGTGATAGTTCTGGTTCCTTAAGTGTGCATGATGGCAACGTGTAGAAAAATAAAATGTTCAATGCACATTTTTTGAGCAAAACTTAGAATCTCATCGTCTGCTTAGATTGGGTCTTCAATGCTTTATCATGTTCGTCATTTAAAAAATTTTTATTTTTTTTTTTGTTTTGAGAGAGACAGACGGACAGACATATTCCATGTGCTGGTTCACTCCCCAGTGCCCACTGTGGCTGGCTTTGGGACAGGCGGAAGTCAAGAGCCAGGAACTCAGTCCTGGCCTGTCACGTGGGCGGCACAAACCCGATTACTTGAGCCATCACTACTGCCTTCCAGAGCTGCACTGGTGGGAAGCTGCAGCCAGGAACCAGAGTTAAGCACCAAACCCAGGGCCTCCGACAGGACAGTGGCACCTTGACCACCAGGCTAAACATCCACCCTCATTATTCTCTCAACGGTCCCACTGTAACAGTGCTGTGTAACCGGTGCAAACCAGTCCCCGGTTGCTGAGCCCCAAGACTGTCTCCAATGCTAGCGACTCTAAATCCTTAGGTGACAAACATTCCTCTGTGCAGATGCTGTTGTACACTTGAGTGATTATTCCTTGGTAGGCATTACAGAAATAGGATTGCTGAGTCGGAGATGAAAAGTAATTCACCTTTGTGCTTTGGATACGATTGCCAACTGGCTTTCCAGAAATCCCCAGCCACTCTGCATTTCCTTAAGCAGTGTGTGAACGCCCCATCTTCATGAGCCATCAGCTTTGGTCACCATTTCCTGCATCCCTGCCAAGATAACTGACCAAAGACTGTATCTTCACTAGCCAATGCTTGCTGACCTTTTACGTTTTTTCTTGTAAATTGTCTATATTTTTCTCCTTAAAAATTTTTTTTGAAAAGACAGAGAGGATGAACTTCCATTCCACTGGTTCACTCCCCAAGTGCCTATAAAGCCCAGCTTGGGCAGGGCTGAAGCTGGGAACCAGGAACTCAGTTCAGGGCCTACACATGGAACCCAGTGACTGGTGCCATCACTGCCACCTTCCAGGGTCTGCGTGAACCGGCGTCAGGAGCCAGAGCCAGGAATCAGACTCAAGGCTGTCTTAACCTTTGCAGTAAATGCCTGCCCCTTCCTGTATTTGCATCTAGATTAATCACTATTGATTAGAAGCACACTTATATATCAAAGATAATGATGTCCTTTTTCAAAAAGATTTATTTATTTTTATTTAAAAGTCAGAGCTACAGAGAGAAAGAGAGAGGGATTGAGAGAGATCTTCCACCCACTCATTCACTCCCCACATGGCTGCAACAGCCAAGGCTGGGCCAGGCTGAGGCCAGGAACCAGGAGCTTCTTCTGGGTCTCCCAGATGGGTGGCAGGGGCCCAGGCACTAGGGCCATCCTCCACTGCTTTTCCCAGGCCATTAGCTGGGAGCTGGACCAGAGAAGTGGAGCAGCCAGGACTCAAACCAGTGCCCATGTGAGATGCCAGCATCACAGGTGGCAGCTTTACCTGCTATACCACAATGTCAGCCCCAATAATAATGTTCTTTGACCCCCAAATAGTGTTTCTACTTTTTCCCAATACCCTTAACTTTCTTTCTTTTTTAAAAAGTCAAATCTATCTCTCATTTTCTTTATTGGCTTTTCTTATCTTTGCGATCATATTTTGAAGTCCTTTTTTGCTTACCAATAGCAATCAATTGTCTGAACATAACACAGTGAACACCTCACCTTCTCCAGCTGATCTGAAATGCCACTGATAAGGTACTAAATGTACATTTACATATGTAGGCTAGGCACTGCTAGAGTCCTGCTCAGGTCATAGAGCTTCCTTCTGGGATATTCTGCTTTGGTTCATAACAATTCATCGTATATACGGGCGCTTCAAAAATTGGTGGAAAGTGGAATTAAATGATAAGTTTTTGAGGTACAAAAAGTGTTGACATCCACATAGTTTTTCTTAGTATGTATCCTCCATTAATGTTTTCAAGCACCTTTGTACTGACACGTGTATAATGTGATGCTATGGCGTTCTTCATCATCAACTGTGGCCATCAACTGAGTTCTTCACGTAGCTACTATACTCACTTGATTATGTCCCAAACTCAAAAAAAAAAAATCCTATTGGCTTGACTTTAAGCTCCTTAAGGAAGTCTGACACTTCCACAGGCTGGCGCTTCCCACCCAAGAACAGGAGTTCTTTCTCCATTTTTCTTTTACTGGGCTCAGCAAAATGTTGTGCTTTGTTTCTGTAAAAGTCTTGCACACTCCCGGCCACTTTATAGTTTCTGCTGTTACTGTGAAAAGGATATTCTCCATCACACGTTCTAACCAGCCACAGCTGGCACCTGATAGGGTTTTTATGAGAAACACCAGTGATTCTTTGAAAACTCTCAACAGGCATGCACTGTTCCACCTTTATCATCACCTGGGCATTCGGATTTCCTTACTGACCATTTGTAGACAAGCGGGGAGAGTCCACATTCCACACAAGCAGCCTTGATCCTGAGTGTGCATCCAGCGTGATCAAAAGAATGAATGTCCATGTAGCGCTTAATGCATTTTAAGCAGACAGGATTGTCCAGAGTAGCAGAGTCATTATTTGTTCATCTTAAGGATGGGAGAACCGAGATTCAGGTCTGACTTTTTGGCCTGGAGAACTTGATTAAAAAAAAAAAAAATGCAAACTTGGGGCCCACCCAGAAAGGCTTCTTCAGAATCTTAGCGACGGGAAGCGCCCCCTGGTGGCCGCTAGAAACATGCAGCACACAGCATCAAAGTAAGGACTAAAATGCCAAGTTTCTGTCCCTAAATCAGGTACGGGCTGAGCATCCCCGATTAGAAATGCTTTGGACCAGAAGTGTTTTACATTTTGGAATTTTTTAAGAGATATTTTCATGCACATAATGAGATATCTTGGGTTTAAACACAAAAATTCATGTTTCTTCAGGCACACGGCCTGAAAGTAATTTTATACAATATTTTTTAGTGTCCCTGTGTCTTTTGCCTGTAACTTGTCCCATGATTCAGGTGTGCTATTTTCCACTCGTGGTGTCTTCGGATTTCAGAGTCTTGGGATTTTAGACTTTTCACATTAGGGATGTTCAACCCGTCCCTTGATGACAGCTTAATTATCCTGAGTTTCCAGCAGCATGGGAGTATGACTAAGAGAGCTAGTGTACATTTTTCATTTCTCTCTTACGAACAGAGGACTTTACATGAAGCATACGCTGTTTACGGGCCACAGGCTCCACGTAAAGATCTCACGTGTAGCACAGACACCCTTTCCCAAAGTCTCCCTCAGCAAACCATTGCCTTGCCACCTGTGGCTGTCCTGGCTACTCCAGGAACTTATGGACAGCATGGGAGTGGCCCTGTCCCACAGCCCCAGTGTCAGGCAGCCTCAGCACTGGTGGAAGTCGGCAGGAAGCGTGGAAGAGTTCCAGGAGCACAGACTCCACCCGGGGAAGCCACGTTCCCACCCCCAAACCCCCACCCCACTCCTGCATACCCTCACAGTAGGTGGGCCACCTGTCAGGTGGGACATCACTGCCCGTGACCTCATCCTGCCATTCGGCATCCAAGAGAGCTCAAGGGTGGCCCTTTGGGAAATGCATAAAACTGCAAAGGGACAGCTCAGGGAGCTCCTTCACTTTGGTGGGAGTTTGATGGACTTCTCAGTCACTCAAGCACCATTTATAAGGCTGCGTGCTCAGCCTGTACTGGGCTCTGAAACACAAGAATAAATATTCACGGGTTCCTCTGACCCAATCGGCAAGGGAAGGCTAAGTTTCTTGGAAGCCATCAAGGGTGGAAGTGAGGCTCCCAGGCTGACAGGTGTGGGGATAGTATTCCAGACTTTCTCTTCCAGAATTCCAGAGGGAAGAACTTCAGGAAGGTCTGGGAGTGTAATGAAGTGCAAGGAGTTTCCTTCACAGGAGGGTTAACCAGGGGCCAGATTGCAAAGACGCTCTTGGAAGTATTGGATCGTGTCTTGTAGATGGCTGGGAGGTACACAGCAGCTAGAACATGGAGACCAAACGAAATGTTGAGGCTCAGGGAAACTCAAAGGTTCCAGGATGTGGACGTCTTGGAAGCTGGGGCTCTCTCTTTTGGCTTGGCCTCATCTCCAGTCCCTGCTGAGTCTCAGAGCTGAGCGGATTTCTGCTGTTCCTCCTCCTCCTCCACACCCACTTCACCTCCATCATCAAACAAGCATGGACAGAAGGCGGGGCTTTCCTGACCACCACACACACACACACACACACACCCCGAAGCAGGACAGCGTCATTCCAGGAGGTTCTGTTCCCAGAAGTCTCGTTAATCAAGGAGCCGTGCACTCAGGGACACCATCATGCATTTGGATAAGCTCTGGTGCACACAGTTCTCACGCTTGGGATCTCCTTTGCTCAAACAAATGTCACTTTGCCTATAAGAAAATTGCACTTGATCTTAGCCAAAAGACAAAGAAGCAATCTCCTATAAGAAAATTGAGGATTAGGGAAACTGCAGCTTGTTCAAGGTCCCAGAGTTTGTTCACAGAGAGTCCAAAGGCTCCAATCAGTTTCTTCTGCTTTAAAAACATCCAGGTAGGGGCCAGGTGTTTGAACTTCTGGTTAAGATACTGAGTAGGATGCCCACATCCGCCGTTGAGTGCCTGGGTTCAAGTCCCAGCTCTGGCCCCTGACTCCAACTTCCTGCTAATGCATACCCAAGGAGCATAAGTGATGGCTCAAATGGTTGGGTCCCTGCCGCTCACATAGTAGTCTTAATTTAGTCCCTGGCTCCTGGCATTCATCTGGTCCAGCCCTGACCATTGTGGGCATTTGGGGGGTGAACCAGTGGGTAGGAGTCCCCCCTTCTCCTTCTCCTCTCTCTCCCTACTACATATTTTTTTAATCCAGGGAATGTATAAATTGGTGCCATTGCAAACCAAGTCATAGGTTACTACAGGCATACCTGAAAGAGAAAGGAAACATGACCGGGGCTGGAGGACTCAAGGCAGTTATATGAGGACATTTCAAAAAGTTTATGAGAAAATGAAATTAAAATTTTATTTTAGTGCAAAACATTTTGAAATCCATGCCTTCAAGGGATCCCAAAAATAGTTCATGGAGAATGCATCTTATGGAGGGAAAAAAATACATGGATTTTTGCACCAAAATACACTTTTATATTTTTAAATTATTTGAGAGGCAAAGAGCAAGGGCTCTCATCTACTGGTTCACTCTCCAAATGCCCACAACAGCCAGGGTTTGCCAGTCCCAAGCCTGGAGCTGGGAACTCAATCCTGGTCTCGCATATGGGTGACAGGACCCCAATTACTTGAGCCATCACTGCTGCTACCAAGGATCCACATTAGCAAGAATCTGAGTCAGGAGTACCTCTGGTATTGAATCCAGGCACTTGATATGGGAGGCAAATATCTTCTTTTTTCAAAGGAAAAATAAAAGAATTATTTATTTGAAAGGCAGAGTGACAAAGAGGGGGAGAGATACAGAGGGAGAGAGGGAGAGAGGGAGAGAGGGAGAGAGGGAGAGAGGGAGAGAGGGAAAGAGAGACCTTCCGTCTACTGGTTCATTCCCCAAATGGTGACAACAGCCAGATCAGATCTGAGCCAGGCCACTCTGTGCATCATTCAGGTCTAGTGCCCTCTAGTGGCCAGCAGAGACACACTCATCTGACTAAGTGGTGTATGTATCACCATGATGGTGTGATATTGGAGGAAGAAACACTAGGTGATGAATATAGCAAGAAATAGAATTTTCCAAAAGTTAGAGACATCCTCTCATGCAAATATAGAATAAGCATATGTCAAAGATTTAGCAGCTCATTAGTGGATAAACTAGTAAAATGGTAATTCTCTTCAAAGAGCATTTTGAGAAATATGTATTTTGGGGCACTCGAAAAGCAGTGTTAGTATAAGACAGATGGGTTCAGTAGAAAACTGGTTATCCTGTACAGGAATGATCTGCATCTCAGTCCAACAAGATGTACAAGTTAACACGTAACTTTACAAGATCTAAGCTTTTAACTGATAGGGGCTGTGGCACACGGTCCAGCATGCTTTTGTAGGACAAACTGCCCACTCTTGTCCTGAGAGGCAAGTTTCACATCCATTTTCTTCATGTCAGAATTCAAGTGTGTGCTTTGCTGCTCCTTTAATGAGATGCTGGACAAATTATCCCTGGGTCTCTGGCACACTTGGAAAATGAACAAATGGTGTTTCCCTAAAGGGGCATCAAAGTTGTTCAAAAATGAGAGGAAATCATCACTAAATGTTCCCCTAGTGCAGGGAGCTACAGAAACAAAATCAAAAACAAAAACAAAAAAGGGGAGTTTACTGAGAGCTCCCAGTTCTGACCGCCTGGTGTAGGTGGGGCGTCTTGGGCAGCAGCTCCACCCCTCTCCCATCTCAGCTCCTGCTCCCCCCAGCCCGCCTCCCATTCCTGTGTTCTGGAAGAGTCTTGTCTGGAACTGTGACTCATCTGGCTCCGGTGTCCTCGGCAGGCTGCGGGTGTGTGCCTTTATCACCCGTTGTAAGCATTGCAAACATACATGTGCATTCATAAGGGACAAACTCAGAAGCACCAGGGATAAAACTCCTCCCCAATACAAATACATTAGCAAGAGTTCGTGTGAAACAAACGTGGTGTTTTCACAACTGTGAGTGGGGTGAGTTGCTTCCTGGTGGGGTGGTGTTCTTCCAACATACATCTGGGTTCCTCTTCAGGAACTGAAGGGTATGAGGGTATTCAAAACATTTGCGGGGAAAAAATAGAATTAGAAGATATTTTTATTTTGAAATCCATGCATGTGATGGGTCTTCAAAAAGTTCGTGGAAAACATGTACTATAAAAAAACTATTTGTGGAATTCAAATGTTTTGCACCAATCTATAATCTACTGTTCAATTCTATTTTTCCATGAAATTTTTTAAGATTTTACTTATTTATTTATTTGAGAGGGAGAGTTAGAGAGAGAGAGGGAGAGACACAGAGAGGTCTTCCACCCGCTGGTTCGCTCCTCAAACGGCCACAACAACAGGAGCTGAGCTGAGCTGAAGCCAGGAGCCAGGAGCTTCTCCCGGGTCTCCCATACAGGTGCAGGGGCCCAAGCACTTGGGCCATCTTCCACTGCTCTCCCAGGCCACAGCAGAGAGCTGGATTGGAAGTGGAGCAGCCGGGACTCCAACAGGCACCCATATGGGATTCTGGTGCTGCAGGCAGAAGCTTAGCCTACTGTGCCACAGCGCAGGCCCCTCATCCTTGGAGGCTTCCCCCTCCACTGACCTGGCATTTCTACCATTGGAGTTCTCTTGAGATTCATATTTTCATCCTATTGACTTCAAAAACCTGGTCTTAGCAGTGGCAACGGCCAGCCCACCATCCAGTTAGGAAGGGGCTCTGAGCCAGATGCTGAGCTGAACTGATGGCCTGAGCTGGCTGCCAGGGCATGGCCAGCACCCACTTTCTCACTCAGGTGTACAGTGATAAACAATTTTGTGAGATGACTGAAAACTAGGGGAAAGTAGTCCTTTGTCTCTGGGTGAAATCAACTGATTTCCTTAGCACCTCTCAGGACTCCAAATCTCCAAATGAAGAAGACACATAAAGAAGCAAAGAGTTTAATGAATTTGGGAGAGAAGGCCTCAGTTGTACATACTTAACAGGTCCCTGACACCTTTCTCAGAGAACCACCTCAGCCATTAGCAGGTCATTTGACTCATTTGCTTTAAAACCTCTCTAAGCTCAGAAAACAACTCAAATCGCTCCAAAAATAGCAGGTGCCCTGGGACGTTAGCCTGACCCCTGTCCGCCAGGCAGATCTGCTGGGTGCAGGCAGTTGCCAGCAGTGAGTGTGCTGCCAACAAGCCTCAGGCTGCTGCACGGTGTAATTGGAAGGACTTTCTGCTGTCTCAGTTGGCCCTGGTGCTCCATCTCTGCGCTCTGTGTTCACCAGCTACTGTGTGTGCCAGAGGTTGTGGGCATACTGGGTGTGCAGGTTCTGTCCTCAAGGATCTGTCTGTCCAGTGGGGTGAGTGACAGAATAGTACTTCGCAAACACTAGGGCCCCACTATGTGCCAGCTAGCGTACTCCGCGTAAGATAGCCTGGCCCTTGCCTTAGAACACAGTCAGCAAGCATTTGTTGAAAGAGGGAGAATACAGTTGTTCCACACCTCCAATACGCCAGACTGGAGGTCGAGTGTTTTTCTCATTGAATGTCTGCCTTCCAAGGTACTAGCCCTGGTAGATGATAGTCTTCCTATTTTTATAGATAGGGGAAGAGAGGCTCAAAGATACAAGGTGACTTCTCCAAGGTCACTTAAAAGGTGAACAGCACAGATGGGGTTCAAACGCTGAACTGTCTGACTTGGAAGATGGTGCTTTTCCATGGCATTGCACCTGCCACCAGCATTTGATGGCAATGCCTTCCTTCCGTGCAGCTGTGCCTGAGCCCTTTCCAAACCCAGAAGCCTCGGAGGACACAAGCTGGCGAGCGAGAGGCATCCACGGCTAGTCCAAGATAAGGACTCACAAAGCCATAGCTTGTGCAATCCACCGTGTGTGACTGCACTTGCCTCTGGCTCTGGCTGTCTCTTGATGTCCTCTGGCATAAACTGTGATCTCCTTGGCTCCCTTCTGACAGAACAGGAAAAGAAAGGGGCAGAGAAGAGGCACTACGGCGACTTCCAGGGGGAGGGGCACAAGCCCTGCTGGCCTCATTTAGGATTCTTCCAGAAGAGGTGGCCCCACACAGCGTATTCAGCCACCGCACAACAAAGCTGGAAGTCCAACAGCCACCGCACAACAAAGCTGGAAGTCCAACGTGGCTTCCACCCAAAAGTGCCTCCTGCCTTCCTGCGCCATTTGTCTTAACTAAATTATTTCAATTCCTTCTCCTTAGCATTTTGGAGGGAAAAATGGGATCTGATCTTTTAGAGCTTAATAAATCTTTGAGAATAAAGCCTAACAGTGAGTGGGGCAGCTGGACCTTATACGCCTACCTCCTCAGGGCCATCTTCCCCTGTGCACCCCAGGTAGCTCCTTGACCACAACTACTCCTCCCCTAGTGCATTCTGGGTAGCTAATGGACTGCATCCGTTCCTCCCCCAGTGCACCCCTTCAGAAAGTCTTCTCTGACCAAGTTCCTGCAGCGTGTGGGTGCAGACACACATATGAAGAGTGGTACCCTTGCTACATGCTCCCAAGCTCCTCCACACTGCTCCTGGCTTGGCGTATGTTACTCTCACCCTGCATCACCTTTGCACTGTGCCCATGTGTGGCCCATAAACCACTTGTCTCCATGCACCATGATGGAAGAACTATGCTTGGTCCTTGTATTGCCAACATTGAGTGCAAAACAATAGATCCTTGAAGAAAGGAAGCATCGAGAGAAGAGAAATCTGCATCCAGACAGCCCACCACCTGACCTCTCTGGGTTCCTGCTTGCCCTAGCACGGATGGAATTCCCTGGGATCAAAACTGCCCAAGGAAAGAATGATGGAGGGAAAGCAGGCTGCAGGGAATGAGTGTTCTCTGAGAAAACAGGGGCAACCAAGCAGGTGCTTCAGGCTCCCGGTGACAAGGCTCAGAGCCACCGCTTGGGAGCACTTGCCACTCTCGGGAGAACCATGGGATGACTTAGCCACTATCGCCCACTCCACATATGAGCCTGGATGCCATGGGAATGTCTTAGGGGTCTTATGCATGGCTGGCCTTGACTTCCACATACTGGGCTTGCTATGTGCAGTAAATTTCTGGATTTCTTGCCTTCATTCCTGACCTATGACTAGATAGCGAATTGGTCAGTGCAGAAACCACTTGGGCAGGTTTCAAAAACATCTCACTGGCCTCTCCTCCTTGTACCAGTGTGCACAAAAAGGAAAATAAAACAGGACAACCACCCTGGGTCCCACACCTTCATCTTCATTTCCATTGCTAGCCTGACTGATGAAAGGAAGTAAAAACATTTAATGTCTTTCTTCCATCTGCACTGTAACAGGGTTTGATGTGCCCGGCTCAGAATTTAGAAATCTACATTTGAGGGGCCGACACTGTGCTGTAGTAGGCTAAGCCGCTGCCTCCATATGGGTGCTGGTTCGTGTCCCAATTGTTCCTCTTCCAATCCAGCTCTCTGCCATGGCCCGGGAAAGCAGTAGAAGATGGCCCAAGTGCTTGGATCCCTGCACCCACATAGGAGACCTGGAAGAAGTTCCTGGCTCCAGGCTTTGGATCAGCTCAGCTCTGGCCATTGCAGTCATGTGGGAAGTGAACCAGCAGATGGAAGTTCTCTCTCTCTCTCTCTATCGCTTTCTCTCTGTCTCTAACTCTGCCTCTCAAATATATAAATAAAATCTTCACATATATATATATGTATATACATATCTATATGTGTTCAGTTTGGTAACATGGCTACAGCCACTCAAATTATCTTTCAGAAGTTCATTTGAGTGGCTATAACCATGTTACCAAACTGAACACATATAGATCTGAGTACATTAGGAAAATAGTTCCCAGTGTCTTAGGAAGCAATGCTTTTAACAAGTGCTTTACAAAAATGAGCCACTAAGAAATGCTTAGCATACAGGGAGCCCATGAACCTGAAAACAAATAATGGTAAAAATCAGTCCAAGGGGTCCTGGCATTGTGGCACAGCAGGTTAAGACACCACCTATGACACGGGCATCTCTTATCAGAGCACTGGTTGAAGTCCCAGCTGCTCCACTTCTGATCCAAGGTGCCTGGAAACGAAAGAGAAGATGGTCCATGTATCTGGACCCCTGTCACTCATATAGGAGATCCGGATGGAACTCCAGTCTCTTGGCTTCAAGCTGGCCCAGCCCCAGTTGAGACAGCCAGGTGGGGAGTAAACTATCAGATCAAAGATCTCTTTCTCAGTGTCTCCTGCCTTCTATGCCTTTCAAATAAACAAATTTTTTTTTTTTAAATTCAATACCAGATCAGCAGGATGGAGAATTCGACTGGCACATGTCAGAGATAAGATTATAAGAGGTTACTATTCAGAGTTTACCTTTCATTTCTTTTTTTTTTAATGGTCTCTTGATTTTCTTTTTTTTTAAGATTTATTTTATTTATTTGAAAGGCAGGGTTACAGAGAGAGATATAGGGAAAGACACAGAGACAGAGAGGTCATCCATCCGCTGGTTCACTCCCCAAATGGTTACAACAGCCAGTGCTGGGCCAGACCAAAGCCAGGAGCCAGGAGCTTCTTCCGAGCGTGGAAACAGAGGCCCATGGAGTTGGACCATCTTCTGCTGCTTTCCCAGGCCATAGCAGAGAGCTGAATGGGAAGTGGAGCAGCCAGGACCCAAACGGGTGCCCATACAGAGCACAGCATCGCAGGCACTACACCACAGTGCCAGCCCCTTACCTTTCATTTCGTGCACAGCTAATGATAAGAGGAACCAAACATCATCCATACACTGCATTTGCACTTTTTTAAATCAACTAGAAAAAGTATCCCACACTTTCCTTCATGCTTTATTTCCTAATTCCAATTATTTTTTTGAAAATTTCAACTTGCCCTTTTCATTCTCCAAGGAAATTGTGTTACTCTGGCATCGAATCTGTTCAATCTCAGTTTAGTTTCAAGTTGGGACTTTATTTCATTCCCAGACATGTACCGAGTGGTTGGTATCCCTGTATTACCTCTCACTTTTGAACACAATTGCTTGGCAAGCCCAGAAGCCTGCTGAGTAAATCAAACTCACTCCTCTTCACTCTCTATTCGCCCTTTAGGCATGTGAAACTGAACCCACACAACATCTTCTTTGGCCACTAAGGTCCAAGGCAGCAATGAACCAACCAGCAGAGCGAAAAGCACAGGAATATGCTATTTTAATCGAGTTGATTACATTTAATTAGCAAGCTTCCTTAAACAAACGGCAAGCCCTTCTCATTGAATTATTTGCTTTGCTCTCTTTACAGACTATAAAATATGCAGGTGGGTTGATAGCATTTGTTCTTGGGATTTTATTAACATTTCATAGGCAAATAAAAGCAAAGAGGTTTCTAACAGAGACGCTGCTAACACAATTCTAAATGCCACAACATGCCCCAAACCAAAGAGACCAAGGACAATAACTTAACCCCAAAGGCATCCAGCATCCTTTCCCTTCGTGAACTTGGGATTCTAGAGACAGACAGGAATCAATGAGCAACCCACAGAGTGCCCTCGTAGCACCAATAGTATTCCTCTCCGTTGAGAAATCTGGACTTGGCTCATACCATCTGCTGTCACCGCAGCCCAAGGTTGCCTTTCATTGGGAATCATGCTGTCAGCTTGGGTTAGAATCTACATGGGGGAGGCATATGCTTATCCTGGCTGCCCAGGGAGATGCTGGCATGGAGAAACGGGAAAGCTGGGACCTCCGGTGTGTTTTTATTTACTCTCCTTCTCTTCTCCCGTAGTTACTGTGACAGTGGGAGGCAAGCAGCATTTGCTGGGACTCTATGACACCGCGGGACAGGTACATTTTTATTCTCTTGATCACTAAGATTGGGTGGAGGGCATGGGGGGGTGGGGAGGGGAATGAACCATTTGGCCATGTTGATGGGGGGGGGGGGGTCCAATCACTGACATTATCCAACCTGATCATTTTGGGGCATCTATCCAAAAAACAGCCAAAAGTGCATTCTTAGTATTTTTTTTAATATTTTCAAGTGTGAAAAATTAAATCATTGCATCATTGGAGGCACTGAGGTGAAGTAACGATTCATTCGTTGACTGATAACCGGCAACAACTAAAATAACATTCAATCAAGAGTTTCAATTTCCTCCTACCTGAACCTATCCCAGATCCAGAATTAACGGTCAATTTCGTAAACTTCCAACTCGCCTGTTTTCCTTCATGTGATTTTTTCGCTTAACCTTTATTTGACTTGCCTAATGAGCTATGAAAAGTTGCAAAAGAGATTGATGGGGAAGGGAGGTAGAGGGAAAATGGATTAAGTGTTGAAAGGAAGAAAAGCCAGGATTCTTGACGTCTTCCACAAGGGCGGGTCTTCCCCTGAATAACTGGGGGTTGCCTCTAAATTCTCTAGGAATCTTGAGATACGTTCACTCTGTCGGACATGACTGAAGCAGGAGCATTCAAGTTGGGGAACCTGGCCAACCCGTAATGGAAGGCAGTGGACCAGAACCCTTAATCAGTTAGCACATGCTCTACTTCAGAGGAAGCATCACTCCATCTGCCTTTCCTGGCACCCCACATGATCTGGTTATGACAAATCTCCACTGCTACCTGTTCTCGGGTTGGAAGAGGGGACGTGGCTAAGTGATCGATGGCTATGGCCCAGTATCTTGGATAGAGCTTTTATTACCTCATATGCCTTGGGTCATTTACTGCGGTCAAAATCAGTGGGTTGTTCAGTCTGTCCAAATCCATGTATCTCAAGTCCTCTGGAGTGAATATGTGACCTACTTCCCACTGTGAGTTCCCTGGTAATTGCTATTTGTAGCTAAGCATTTGTCTAGCCCTTTTTTCAGCATTATCTGGAGATATGTCATTTTGCTCAAATTGAAAGCTCTTTACTAGAAAATAAATAAAGGGAGTTCTCTATGGGGAATTTGCAAATGAACTGGTACTTGCAAGAATCTCTGTAGACATGTATGTGGCCCAACAAGGGCTGGCATTGGTCAGGCTAGCGTGGGGAGCCTGGAAAATCTGGCACCACACTCAAGGCTCTAGGAGCACCACTGTTTTAGCAGGCGAGCAGCCAGAACTGGAGGGTGGAGGGGATCACTCACCTCCGTAGCAGGACGTTTGTCTAGGAAATGAGGTCTCCCAGGTGCCCCAGTGGGAAAATCAATTTGTTTCCTCCTCTAGGTTAGCATACATGGGGCAAGGCTGGCATTTGTGGCACAGTGGATTTACCCTCCACCTGCCACACCAGTGTCCCATGTGAACACTAGTTCAATTCTCAGCTGCTGCACTTCTGATCCGCCCCCTGCTAGTGCACCTGGGTGAACAGCCGAAGGTGGCCCAAGTGCCTGGGCGCCTGTTACCCATGCAGGAGATCCAGATGGAGTTCCCAGCTACCAGCTTCAGTCTGGCTCAGCCCTGGCTGTTGCAGCCACAGCAAAGCTTGTTTTACCACTCGGAAATGTCCCTGTTTCTCTTGCCCATCAGCTCACCGAGTTCTCCCCACTCCCGTAGCAAAACACTGACACGTATTGGCTCCTATGTATTCATCGACCCAAGAACAACCTCCCCAGGGCCTCTACTGAATTTCAAACCCAATCAAACTGTTCAAAACTCTTGGAGAGTTTAATTATTCTTTCCCATCGCTCTGCCCTTTAAAAAAAAATTCACAATGCCAGTATGGGAGTTGTAGTTGTAAGGCATTGTAAAAACATCTATACACTCCACATCGAAGCTAGCTCAAACCTCTGATGAGAGGTGATGAACGCTGATAAAATAGAGCAACAATTGGTTTGATATGTTTCTTCAGCTCAAACTGGACTTTCATGCTTTCCATGAGGTAGTTGGAAAGCTCATGGACAAAGTGCACAGTCCTATGATTAGGACCTTTATGATGAGAGCTTTTCAAAGACCTAAAGGAACTAGAGTAATTGAGGAAAAGGATTTGAGGCTGGACGCAAGGGAGCCCTGTCAGCAGGAAAAGATTGTTAAATCCAGGAACGTATCACACAGGACAGCCACCAAGTCCTTTTCTAGAATAGTGATTCTCCATCTCCCCTGCAGAGTTGATTTAAACCCAGCCCCTGGGCCAGCGCTCTGGGGCAGCAGGTCAATGCTGCCACCTGCCCGCAGTGCTGGCATCTCATATAAACACGGGTTTGAATCCCGGCTGCTCCACTTCTGAACCAGCTCCCTGCTAATACATCTGGGAAAGCAACAGAAGATGGCCCAAATGCTTGGGTTCCTGCTACCCATGTGGGAGACCTGGAAGAAGCTCCTGGATCCTGGAATTGGCCCGGCCTAGCCTCAGCCATTGTAGCCATTTTGGGGTGAATTAAATAGAAGATCACTCTCTCTTTCTCGCTCTCCCCCCCCGCCCCTGTGTCTGTCTCTCCACCCCTCTCTCTGTAACTCTGCCTTTCAAGCAAATAAATAAACATCTTTTCAAAAAATAAATAAATAAATACAGCCCCTGGACCCCACTCCAGGCCAGAGTTTCTGATTCTTCCAGTCCGGGGAGGGGCCCTTGAACTTGCATTTCTGACAGATTTCCCTGTGCTACTGCTCCTGGTCCACACTCTGAGAACCATCATTCCAGCACCTCTCCTTGCAAACCGTGCTCCACTCAGCAGCAGCCCCGTAGTATCAGCACGGCCAGGGAGCAGCTCAGAAGAGCAGAATCTCAGAGCCCAGCTGCCACCCACCGACTTGAAAATTCCCGTTCAGAAGACACCCAGGTTATCTGGATGCACACTAAATCCTGAGAAGTTTAACTCTGGACGTCTCTGATGGCCGAAGCACTGCAATGGAAAACATGTATTTCCCCAGCGGATGCCCATGGTTCCATGACAAAGCCAAAAAAGGCCTTGCAACAAACTTGGAAGCATTGTCCCAAAAATTGCATTCCCTTTTGTAGCTAGGAGCATCCACCCATCTTCGGTTATATTTTTTCTAGTAAAGGATGCTGAAGCCACAATAGCTCAAGAATATCTGTAACTGATTCAAAAATACTCATTTGACCAGTTTTAGTAATAAGGAAGAGATGATCTCAAAACCAACTGATCCATCCCTGAGCCACAAAAAGAAAGGCAAGAAGTCTCAGAAGCCAGCTCTAGCATCCACCTCGCTTGAATAATTGGGTTTTCTTACATGAGTAAACCAAGGAGCAGTGACCCTCCTCTTTGTCATGGACTAGCTGTGCGTCAGAGCTGATCAAAACGACCTCAAGAAGCAGATGCATTCTGCAAAGAAAAGAGATAGAAACTCATCAGCTCTGCTCTGTAAGTCAGTCCTGGGCAAACCCGCATGATGTGGTTCCTCGCTCCGCCGAGATGCCTTGTCTACCTCGGACTTGGCTATAGCCCCTTCACAAATCACCAACGATTTGCTAAAGACAGTTGCTAAGGAAGTCCCATGCCCATGCTGTCGGCTGCGAGCAAACATCAGCTCCTTCCCCAAGCCCCTAAACAAGCCAACATTTGGACTTAGAGCATCTTCAAAGACACAGTCTTCAGAACTCTGGTTTACCTGTTACACGGAATTCCAAACATGAGGTTAGGCAATGAAGTGGAGAGCCCGTCTTAGGCCGAACACACATTACCCTTAACTCACACTGGGGAGAAATACAGCCCAGACTGTAGACCAAATCGATTTAGACTACCAACTCTTTCTGGGGAGGTCCATGCCCCAAGCAGCTCATCTCTGAACGCTCGCTGAAAGGGACTTCCAGAGCACAGGGCTTTGGCTCAGCTCCACAAAGTGCCAGAGTTGACTTTTCCACGACACACTGCATCCCAAGGGACCAAGAGCAGGGCAGGACGCTGGAATGGAGATGCTGCAGCCAACCCCAGCCTTTCCCAGCACAGAAGTGCAGGACTGGGAGTGAAGTCCTTCCCGGGTGCTGGCTCCCAGCCAGGGACCCCCCACCCCACTGCCAGCCACCTGGAGTGGAACCAGCCATAGTACTTAGATGCCTCTCCCCTTCTCTACACTGGCCCTTGCCTACACGAGTGATGTTGGGAAAAGCCACCCTCGGATTATGGCCTCTGAGACCAAACTCCAGAGTGGACATAGGAAGACACTTCAGCAAGTTTGTGCCGAAAATGGAATCAAGAGACAAGTCAATGGAATAGGCATTCGGTGTGTGGCTAAGACACCACTCAGGATGCCTGCCTCCCATTTCAGAGTACCTGGGTTCAAGTCCCAGCTCCCCTACTGATCCCCCTTCCTGCTATTGCACACCCTCAGAGGCAGCACCCATGTGAGGGACCCAGGTCGAGTTCTGGGTTCCTGGCTTTGTCTTGATCGGACACCAGCTATTGCCAGCATTTGAGGTGTGAACCAGTAGACAAATGATCTCTCTCTCTCTCTTTCTCTCTCTCTCTCTCTGAGAAAAATAAAGGAATAAAGGGAATTTTTGGAAAAAGCTAATAATTTTGGTGCGAAATATCAAGAAATGTATGCATTGTATTTTCATAACATGCATTTTCCATGACCTTTCCGAAGACTCCACGTATGCATGGATTTCGAAATTTTTTTTGCAGCGAAATTAACTGCTCTTTAAATTCCATGTGGCACAGACGTTTTGAAGCCCACTCCCCGATATCACGAAGGCAGTCTTGGTGAAAGTGTTTGCCGGCAGCACTGTCCAGGAAGAATGGGCTGGGGCTCCTGGGAGCAGGAGCCAGGTGCAGCCTGATGGCCAGCATGGCCAGGTGCCTGGTTTCCCTGCAGGCTAATCCCCCGAGTGCCCTGCACCCTGAGTTCCACGGCAGCTGGGGTGTCCGTCTGTGGGCAGCCACAGAACGGTGTCTGTTACCGAGAAG